CATGTAATAAAATCGGCACCAGGTACCCTGTACATATATACGTTTTAGTTGTAACTTTATGTTACGGTCGTAATCTGTATTTTACTGTCGGTTATACAGTTAAATTTAATATATTTTTCAATTGAACAACGCATCATTTAATCATTTTTCCGAACAACAAAATAAATAAATAAATAAATAAAAATATAATAGTATATTTGAATTTTTGATGTGCATGCAACTGCTTATTTGCTTACGTGGCAGCTACGCGCCTGATCATGACGTATCGTTGGTATTAGTGGTCTTTGAGCGCTAGGTGTCATTTTATACGATGTTGATATGTTTGTACATTTATCATTATAATTAACAAGGAACATGTGATATTTGAGATTACATATTGTACCAACCTCGACTGTTACTACATTTGTACATACTGTTATAAATCACATGAGCTGGTATACGTAATAACCATCGACTAGCATGTCGGCTGTTAGAGTATTGACGGTTGTGACTGTGTAAGAAAGGAACAAATATTTTATAACAGTTTAATCAACATATCATGTCCTTATACTAAGTCTACTAGACACTATATGGTATTAAATGTTGCATACCGACATGTTCCTTGTAAAAGAAGTGGCTTCTAGCGTAGCTTTCGGTGATTGTAAATACACTTTATTTGTGAGGAGTTGTATGGTTCCGTCTGCATCATAACAATAATTGATAGCTTATGAATCTACGAAATAGTTAACTTACATATGTACGTACGGATGTAAGGCTTGTGTTGTGCTATGGCACATAGTTAACTACCTCAACATGGGTGTTTGTGTTCTGTTTTGTGGTGGGATCGTGCACGTGCTTCCTATAGCTTTTGTTTTGTTTATTTCAGCACATACACTGTAGCTCCCATCCTAAACCATTTTATACCCCACCTTGATTAGTGGACATGTAGACAGGAAGGTGAAGCGTATATAGCTACCGACATATTAGAAAACCAAATTGACCATGTATTACATTGGTTTAAATTTCGGAGAAATCCAAGTGACGGCGAATGATCTAACACAAAAATCAAGGACAAACAATCCTGTCTGTTTATCTGTAAGTCTTACGGCTTATAGGATACAAGCCAATTTTACGTGTGGCTCGTAATGTACTGTTAAGCTAGTTTGGACACAGGCAATGGTCTCATTGTGAAGCACGAAATGTAAAAA